GAGAGGGGGGAGGGGGAATAGGCTGTGTTTAACAGTATTGCAAGTATCCCAAAGGTATCAGTTAGAATCGCTTTTCGATGTGAGTCTTACACAGCTCATGTTACACAGATGTAGTCGTATGGTCTTGCATGACTGTGCTAAGCCATTCGTTCTGAGCCAGTTTGCTTCGAATTTGCCTTGACATTTTTATGTTTTGTTTGTCTTTCCCTAAAATATAATTGGCCAATGCGCCGACTGCCGGTGCGAAGATGCATTTTTTGCACAGTTCTCCGCAGGTTTGTGCCGCTAACGGCAATGTTTTTTTCCGGTAGATGCTTCTATCTAAAGGGATTGAGATTAGTCACTACGACTGTGTGAAAACATTCCTTCAGATTTTCAGCTTTCTAGCTTTTCTGGTTCCCGAGTTAGCAGCTTGCCTGCCAAAAACTTTGGCGGGTCCGTATTTGGATACCACACCGGCAAGACCGTCCATTTTGAGGACCGGTACCCGCACATGCATACAAATTAAGTTTCCAAAGTTTCAGCCCTGTAGCTTTTGTAGGTTTTGAGATGAAAAATCGGTGCAGAAGAACACACAGGCAACCTCGGCAACATGCATTTTTCACTGCATAGATGCAAAAAAAGCATAAAAACGGACGATAAATATGTAGTTGAAGCCTAAAAAAAAATCGAATATTTCAGGAATTTCGGCCAATGTCTTTGCAAGATGAGCTGTTGTTGGCGGATCATCCGAGCGTGGGGAATAGCCTTTTGGGTAAAGGATGGGTGAATCATCCAGGACGTGCGGTCGAGCCTCATGTAAGTTAATTTTCAGTTATTTTTGTCTAACACGGCTGCTATAAAAAGGAAAGTACTGAGGAAAATGTGGACACGTCGTGAAATTCTTTTAGATATTTCTTAGCTGTGTGATCAATTTCTGTTCGTATTCTCAGCGTATAAATTCCAAATAATTGAGTTTAAACTGCTATAATTTTGCAACCGACCTTTTTGGCTTCTTTGTCTTAGCTTTTTTATCGTCGCTTAGTAGTTTGCATCTTTTTTCGGCACATGCTTCTAGCTAAAAGAATTGAGACTGACCACCACGACTATGAGAAAACGTTCCCTTAAAATTTCAGCTTTTTAACTTTTTTAGTTTCCGGGTTAGCAGCTCTTGTGTTAATGTTCACGTTTCATAGTGTTTGGCATTGT